GCTGAATGGCAGCGGATTGCAACGCATTTATAGTCCTAGGCAGAACAGGTGAATGCATCTCTCGCGCTTCGCCGACCACCGCGTTCACCTTCGCGCCGCCGTGTTGTCGCATTCACTGCTCCCCGTCCAAACGCAACACATGACACGGCAGACGCAACCAAAAAAAAAAAGAAAACTCGAGAACACAAAAAGGACGGTGAGCGGGCCGTTGCTGGCGTGTTTGCTGCATGATGGTTGGGGCCCGGCGTGGGAGCCCGCATGAAGACTTTTGCGTTTCTGGCAGGCTTCTTCTTTGCTACTTTGTCTTGCGCCTTCGTCTTTCTATATGCAATGTAGTTGGACGCGTCGAAGGACATCCGGATGGGGTTCCGTTGCGTTTGAGTACCTAGACAATGGGCTGTAAGGCTGAGTGGGACGGCATTCACAACATCTCGGCCTACTTGTTTCTCACCTTGTTTGATGCAGCGTTTAGCAAGCATAGATGTATTCCATAGTAGCCATGCTTCTAGAAGCGCAATCATCTCGAGGCAGCCGTGCCGCTCTTTATTCACCCACAGCTTCTAGAAGCCGACGATGTCCACAAACAAACCCCTCCCCTTCACATGGTCGTCACACGCCGCTCAAACCGCGGAATCTTCTTCGTGAACTTCGCCGGATCCTCCCTCGCGCCCTCCTGCCAGTACTCGTACTCAATCCACGCATTCTCCGGCATCTGCTCCTCCATGGCCGCCATCCACTGCCCCAGCTCGGGACTCAGGGCCACCACGCCTGTCTCCAGCACGTACTGATCCCACAGCTTGATCAGCTCCTTCAGACGCTCCGGCTCGCGCTCTGCCAGGTCGTGCACCTCGCCCGGGTCCGCCGCCAGGTTGTACAGCTGCCAGCGCTCGGGGCCCTTGGGCTTCGGGATGAAGACGATCTTCCAGTCGCCCTTGCGGCACGCCGCCCGGCCGCACGTCTCCCACCCGTTGATGAAGTCCTCGGCGTGGATGCGCGGCTGCGAGCCCTCGAGGTAGGGCGCCATCGACTTGCCGCGCATCGAGACCACCTCGCGGCCCTGGTACGTCGGCGCCGGGTGCGTCACGCCCGCCATGTCCAGGATCGTCGGCGCGAGGTCCATGACGGTGGCGAACTGGTGCGTGATGGTGCCGCCGTGCTGCGCGAGCGACGCAGGCGGCTTCACCAGGAAGGGCACGCGCACGCCGCCCTCGGTCGTGTACGCTTTATACAGCCTGCTCGGGGCGGTGGCGGCCTGCGCCCAGCGCGGCCCGTACCAGATGAACGAGTCGCCGTTGCCCAGGTTGTCGAGGCTGTTGTTGTAGTACTTCTTGAGGTGCTGCATCATGGAGCCCTGGACGATGGGGTAGGCTTCGTACGCGGCGCCCTCGGCGCCGTTGTCCGAGAGGAAGCACACGAAGGTGTTGTCCAGCTCGCCCTGCTGCTCCAGGTAGTCGACGACTTTGCCGACGTTGGCGTCGATGCACTCGACCATGGCGGCGAAGACCTCCATGGCGCGGCAGGAGTTGGCGCGCTCTTCGTCGCTCATGTCGGTCCATTCCTTGACTTCGTCGGCTACCACGGGATGGGCCTCGACGTCTTGGGAGATGAGGCCGAGTTCCTTGAGTCGCTGCAGCCGCTTCAGCCGAAGAGCATCGGGTCCGTTGTCGTACACGCCTCGGTATTTCTTGATATACTCCTGAGGAGCCTGGAGCGGCCAGTGAGGCGCCGTGAAGGGCAGATACGCAAAGAACGGCCTCTCGTCGCCGCCCTCCTTCCAGTCGCGGAGATACTCAAGCATCTTGTCCCCATAGCCGTCGGACGAGTACCAGCCGTCCGGCAGCTTATCAACATACTCGCCGTCCTCGCTGTGCAGGGCAATGACGCTCATGGTCAGGAACTCGGGCGACTTCTCACCCACGCCCAGCTGCGGCTCGTAGGCGTAGTGGTTGCTGCACGCGGGAAGATGGGCAAAGCTACGCTCGAAGCCGCGCACCTTGGGACTGCGCTCCGGCGTCAGGCCCAGATGCCACTTGCCGGCCATGAGGGTCTGGTAGCCGGCGTCGCGCAGCATCTCGGGCAGGGCGACGACGCGCTCGTTGAGGTAGCCCTCGTAGCCGGGCATGCCGCGCTGGACGTTGGTCGACATCTTGCCCGACGGGTCGTTCTGGCCCGAGACGTTGGTCCACTCGATGAGGTTGCCCAGCCCGGCGATGTGGTGGTCCGTCCCGGTCATGATCATGGCCCGCGACGGCGAGCAGGCGGCCGCGGCGTGGAAGTCGGTGAAGCGCAGGCCGTTTCGCGCCAGCTTGTCGATGTTGGGCGTGTTGATCTCGCTGCCGAAGGAGGCAATGTCGGAGAAGCCCAGGTCATCAGCCACGATGACGAGGAAGTTGGGTCGTTTAGGGGTTGTCATGGTCGCAGAGAGAAGCAGTATCCGTAAATACAAATCAGCAGTTTCCACTGAACCTCAGGAATAAGTAAACCCTTCGTATGAAACCGCGCTCTCTTATAAGTGAGCATTCTGGCTGGCCTCGCTGCCAAGGTGGGGTGGACATTGCATCCAGCCTCGGAATAGCTGTCCAGGCCGACACCCGACTCTGATCCCGCGGATGATCGCATACAAGCCTATCACCTCGCAAATTCATCTGCGGCCCCGTCATCCATCGCGCCACGCGGGGATGTCAGAGTGTGAAATTGCGTTGTTGAGGGGATCGCATTGGCGCGGCTTTGGCTGCGCGGGGGTTGAAGTTGATGTCGGTCGTTTGCGTGTAAAGCCCGACGTCTTTGAAGCAGGTTGACGTATCATGAGACGCATGCCACTATTGCATCGGCTCCTCGGGGAATCCTTCTTCGAAAGGCGACTTCTCCCTGTTGTTAAAAGACGCTAAATGGGTTAACGAGCACGCAAGTGAGCACGTCATGGCTTCTGTGGACAGCCCACGCCAATCTCATGAACACATTCCCCAGAGCATCCATGACACGCCGCTTGTCGGTTTTCTAAGGCTGTCATGACCTGCCGATCCTTTCCCAACGTCTACTCTAGCGTTGGATCCGGTGACGATAAAATCAAAGACATCCGGACGGTCGGGAGAGCAGGACGTACCTTTCTCATCCGCGCCAAAGTCCATCGTTTCGGAGTCTCAGAACGCAGGCTACAAGCATCCCACTCGGAGTATGGCCAACACCACTACGCCGCTTCTTGGACCCCAAACCCAAGATGCCCCAGCCAGTCAATATTCAGGCAACCAGAAACTTGCGAAGGCTACCTCTCAAGGCCGTCTCCGCGCTTATTGGCTTGGGTGCGTAGTATGCATGGGAGGCTTCCTATTCGGCTACGACAGCGGCATGTAAGTCGACCCCAACCACGCAACCACGCCCATTCTCACCTCGCAGTGTCGGCGGCGTCCTCACATTAGCCTCCTTCCAGCGAGACTTTCGCTACGGGAAACAGCACCAGACGCGGGTAAACGCGCTGTCGGTCGGGCTGCAACAGCTCGGAGCGTTGCTGGGCTGCTTCGTGGCTTGGCCCATCGCCGACCGCTACGGCCGCAAGAAGCCGCTGATGCTCTTCGCGGGCGTCTTTTGCCTCGGGGCTATAGCGCAAGCCGCCAACTCCCACTCTCTCGCCGTCTTCTACGCCGCGCGGATCGTCTCCGGCTTGGGTCTTGGGGCAGCGACCGTCGTGGTGCCCATGTTCAGCAGCGAGATGGTCCCTACCGAACTACGCGGCCAGATCGGATCTTTCTTCCAGCTGTTCTTCACACTGGTGTGTCGGGGAATCCTCTTGAACGACGGCAAAGCTGACGCCGATAGGGAATCTTCACGTCCTACTGGATCGACTACGGAGTCTCCTTCATGAAGGATGATCTCACTGCCCAGTGGCAGATCCCCATCGGCCTGCAACTGCTTCCGGCGGTTGTGCTCGGCACCGGAGCACTCACGCTCAAGGAGAGTGCGCGGTGGCTGACCAAGAAGGACCGCCATGCAGAAGCCTGGCGGAGCCTCTCGTGGATCCGCGGAGACGACTCGCCAGCGACGGTTGACGAGATGAACGAGATCCGCTTAGGCGTGCAAGCCGAGGCGGAAGAGACAGAAGGCTTCGAGTTCAAAGGTACATCCCAGTGAACCCATCCATCCAGAAAAACTCACCAACACGGCCCAGAGCTCCTCCACGGCGACTCCGCCAAGCGCGTCCTCGCCGGCTTCTGCATCATGGCCGCGCAGCAAGCCACGGGCGCCACGGCGTTCGCCTACTTCGGCCCGCAGTACTTCACGCTGCTGGTCGGCGGCGGCCAGCGCGCTCTCCTGCTGACGGCCGTCTTCGGCGCCGTCAAGGTGGCAGCTTGCGGCGTGTTCGTGCTGTTTCTCGCGAGCCGGTTCTCGCGGCGCCAGGTGCTCGTCGGCGGCGCGGCGGTCATGGCGGCGTGTCAGGCGGCGACGGCGGGAGTTGTGCGGGCCCGGCCGGCGCCGGAGGACGGGGCGGTGACGGCTTCGGGGGTTTTGACGGTGGCGCTGATATATATCTTCGTCGCTGTGTATAATACCAGCTGGGGTCCTATGTCGTGGCCGTACTTGTCCGAGTGAGTCCGCAACGTGACGACGCAAGTGAAGAGTTCTCGCTAACCACGGCACTTTAGGATCTTCCCCGCCAGGATCCGAGAGCCCGGGATAGCCATCGGGGCCGCGTCGCAGTGGCTGTTCAACTTCGTCTTCTCCGTCGTGACGCCGTACATGATGGACCGGCTGGGATGGGGGACGTTTCTGGTCTGGGGAGTGTTCGATGCGGTCATTTCGGTCATGGCGTTTTTGTTCCTCAAGGAGACCAAGGATCTCTCGCTTGAGGCTATTGCCAGCCAGCGATTCAACAAGAGAGTGTGAAGAGCAAGACAAATAGAGGTCAATCAATCACTCGCGCCAAAAAAGATTACAGCACAATTTCTTGTGTGGCAAGACAGACAGCTGGGTCCCAGACAGATCTCAAATAGGCAAAAAGAAAGGTGTGCGGTTTATGTGGATCGAACACATGACCTTCAGATCTTCAGTCTGACGCTCTCTATGAGATTGTTAGACTTGATGTGCTGGAGTTTTCCAAGTTTTGCAACTTACCCCAACTGAGCTAAACCCGCGGTTTGATAAAAAGGAGTCATTAAAACAAGAACAAGGGTGTATGACAGAGTTGAGTCACACAAATCAATGTCCAGGAAACGGTCCCTTCCATCAACAACAACAACAACACTCACCTTCAAGCCAAACACCATGGATTTCGCACGTTTAGAAGACGCTCTGCGACCCTCCGATGACGCTTTCAAGGCATTATACGAACGGGGTTACCGTACTTGGCACAAGTTATGAGTTATGGGCTGGCGCTACAGGCGATTGCACGCTCCCGTCAACATGCCTAGAATGGGAACAGCATTTCCCCCAGCATCCCTATTTTCCTGTTGGTCTCGAGCTAGATGATTCCGGGCTTGTGAATGCAAAATCTACCTGGATATCCTCTGAAGGGCACTGCGATGCCCCTGCATTCGAACAGACCTTCTAGATGGCGGCAATAACTGGGCGGCCAATATCAGTCGCCGTTACAGATAACCTAGATCTATCGCTCTCCGAGTGGTTTGGCGAGGATGACGGACATCTTGTGGTCCTTGTGTTCACTTGGGCAGGATGGTATAATGCTCAATGTACTTTAACGCTGTTTTAAAGGATGCCGGGGTCGATAAATGAGGGTTCGAATGGTCCATAGAATAAGTTAAGGAAATGTTGATATTGTTGAGCTCCTTTGTAACACTCTACGGCGAAAGAAGTCGCCATCGCTTATGCGGTATGGCTGCCTTCCAACCATCTCCCGGCGCAAGGACGGCTGCCCACCATCGAGCAGCCTCGTCAGTCAGGTTTCCCAATTCAACCATCATAGGTTTGGTAGCTTTAGGAGCTTTGCTAGAGGCTAAATGGGCTGTCCAAGGAGCTTGGCTTGCCATGTATTCCAGCGGAGACGCTCGGGGGATCATCTCCACCCAGCGTGCGGATAGGGCGTATCCATAACGCCAACAAACAGAATAGGGCAGCTCTGGCCGCTATACTTCTTCTCCCTCTAGCCAAACTAGATAACAGAAAAGTTCTACTTTACGCACCCCGAGGGCCCTGCAGGCAATCCACAAGCATGGAAGCACCCGGAGCTTCACTTCTCGACGAACGCTCTCTTCGCCAGCTCGACAGACTCCTAACCCTAAGCGCCAACACTCGCAGCGTGAAAGCCATTCTAGGCAGTGTCTTTTACCAGTCTAGCGTAATAGCTAATGCCTATAGTGTATGGTTGCAAGGAGCTATGGCCGCGTTATAATTGAAGGGAACTGAGGATTCTTATGTCTTAGCTTATATATTCTTTAATTAGAGTCCTTAGATTTTATATCTCTTAGCTTAGTAGGATTATTATAAGTATATATAGTGACTTTTTATATAATATTTCCTCTCTCCTTAGCTTAAATAGAATTAACCTTTATAAGATAGCCTAGATTAGGACCTTTTTATTCTTTATTTAAGAATTAATATTATTAGTATATTATAACTTAAGTTCTATCTTATAAGCTAATAAGTACTAACTAATATTTCTAATCTAAGAATTACCTTAAGAATTCTTTTTAATATACTTATATCCTTTCTTAAAGAATATAAATATAAAAGATACTAACCTTAATATTTAGCTTTATATATATTATTTAGAGAATTATTAGCTTTAGTTCTTATCTCTCATATAAAATTGCGCGAGGGTGAGAAAAGATATATAAATAATAGGACCTATATCAATAGCTCCTAGGGAATAGATTTTCCATAGCTTGTTAGGTAAGGATATAGAAGTTAAGGTAGACTATACATAGTTAGACCGAGAGAAGGATCTTTCCGATAGAGTCACGCGCAACCTATTTACCTAGATGCGAGACATGGATGGCTTCACCATTGCAGAGCGAGACATTTGTCGTCACGAACGGATTGACGATTTCGATTCCGATGACGAGAGTGTCCATCCGGAGAGAGAGATGGGGGTTCAACAATAGGTCTAAACGTTGATGCCCAGATAGGTTGTTGGATGGCAAGTACCATGACCAGACGTTGTAACTCGATATGAGTACGTCGTGACACTTCAGTACATTATTCGACACACATAAAAAGCAGATGCATAGTAGTCAAATCATACTAAATGCTACCAGGTCCCGCCGTCCTGTTAACAGCATAAAGGAGGTCGCCCTCCACCGACCTTGAACACCATGCTGAAGGGCTAAGTACTGGCTCTAGTACTTGGGGTCAGAATTTCGTACTAGCCAGGGGCAGTATTGGGCTTAGGATGAGAGATAATGGTGATATGCCCTCATTAGAACATTCAACTGAGTTCTCAAGCGTGTGTTTAGTCTACCCCCGGGTAGTAGTTCAGTCAATACTTGGCACCTATTCATCAAAATATGTCCTACAATAAATCGCAACCCATCCCATTCCTTTCCTAACAAGCACCAATATCGTACCAAACATCATTATTCATACAAGTCCTTGTCCACATCCCCGTCCTTGGACGCATGGGGACTCGTCACCTTGATGCCATTCTCCAGCCTCGAGAGCGTCATGACGTAGCTCTTGTGGTCGCACCAATTGCGCACCATCTTGATGGCGTTCTTGATCTCGCGACCATTCAGCTGCCAGAGAGCCAGCTCGGAGATGTCCTCATCGTCGATCGGCTTATCGGCCGGCTTGGCAACCGCGCCCTCCGTCACGTCCGTCACCTGGGCGGCTTGCTCGGGTAGTCGCTGGAGGAACTTGTGCCAGATGCTCTCGCGGGCCTCTCGGTTCAGGGCTTGGAAGAGCAGGTGCAGACTCACGCGGCTGCGAAAAGCGGTGTCGATGGTGTGGTAGAGGTTGGTGGTGAGGAAGATGATGCCGCGGAAGTACTCGAGTTCGCGAAGGAAAATGCTGACGAGTTCGTTGCGGTGGATGTCGTTGGGATTGCGCTCGGCCATGAAGACGTCGGCTTCATCAAGCAAAATGACGGCGTTCCACTCTGTCGCCATCTCGAAGACACGCTTGATGTTGGCACCCAGTGTTGCTGCATTGATACCCAGGTCCTCGGCCTGCAGATAGAAGAGCGGGCGGTGTGTGCGGTCCGCAACGGCTTCGGCCGTGAGCGTCTTGCCGGTCCCTGGAGGGCCGGACAGTAGGATGATGAGACCCTGACCCTTGCCTACGATGACGTCTTCCATGACCGCGGAGGAGCCGTTGGCGAGATTGTGGTTCTCGACAAACGAGAGAACGAGATCCTTCTGTTGGTCGTCGTAAACAAGGTGTGAGAAGGCCTGATCATTCCAGACCATGGGCTCAATATCCTCAATGTAGAATTGGACTAAGAGGGATCACAGTTAGTATAACCTTTGCGTGTAGCTTTGTAGGACACTCACCCCAAAGTTTGTTCTTGAGGGCGTACCCTCCGATCATTTCGGACATAAACCCAAGCTCGTCAGGCTTCTCAAGCATCTCCTGCTTGTTTCGCTCCGCTTGCTTCTCAGTTAACCGCTTCTTCTGGGTTGTCTTCATCTTGGATCTTTGAGACTCCCCATCTTCGTCATCGTCGTCTATCATTCGTCGTCGACGGCGGACTTGGTTACGCGCCGTTTCTGGATCCTTGTTTTCCCGCTTGCCGAGGGCGAGGTGGTATTTGTTGTATCCAACCACGTCAATTAGAACGCGGCCCTCGACGTTGTGCTTCTCGATGCACTGCTTGTCTCCGTCATGCAGGGCAATACCGGTGTAGCAGCTGTATCGGAGACCTTGTAGGTCCAGGGCCTTCGTGCCTCGGGCTACCAGGCGCTTCATGATGCTCTCATGGTCCGGGTGGAGGTCGAAGGGGTAGTGACGCAGTTCACGAATAGGGTTATTCCCGGAAAAGAGAGGGATAGGGAGTGACTTGTCCTGCCAGATGAACTCCTCGCCGTTGAACGTCATGATCCTGCCCTTGATTACGAGGAAGGTTCCCTCGTTCTTCTTGACATACTCGGTGTCCTCAACCTTGCAGATGAATTCTGAGTTGAGGCCATAGCTGTACACCGTGGAGCCACGGGGAAAGAGAGTCCATGCGGTCTTGAAGTCTATCAAGCCGCCGTCAAGGAGATGGCGCCTCTTGATCTTCATCTCGCCAAACACATCGTCGAGGAGCCTAATAAACAACTGCAGGTAGCCCTTGAGGGCATCGTCGACCGGGGTCTGGCGGTAGAGCTCTTTGATCTCCTCCTGGCAAAACCAGAGACTCCGGAAGGGCTCCATGAACTCGGCCGTGTCGTGGACATCGAGGTAGACGTTTTCCTTCTTGAGAATGGGCTCCAGCGCAGCCACCAGAGCAGGGCTCTGGACCTCGATCTGATGGTACTTGAGTGGAAAGCGACCGCCGACACAGGGTTTCTCGCGGTCCTTGATTTTGTAAACCTTGATGGCGACGCGGTCCTGGGCGCGAGCGGCAGACTTTGACAGCTGCTTGGGCGGGTAATCCACCCACTCGTAGTTGGAGGCGTTCGAGTTGCGGCCCTCGTAGAGGGTCTTGATGGTGGTGTCGGAGCCAAAGGCCGGGTCCTTTGAGGGCGTGACCGTCTTGGGATCGTCCTCGGAGGTGGAAGAGTCGAGGTCGAGGGGCTTATTGAGGGCAGAGTCCTGGCGGCGGGTGATCTTGCAGCGCCATTTCCAGACGAAGTCGGAGACGTCCTCGCGGTCAATGTCGCGAATGTCGCTGAAGCCCATGGTGACGGTGCGCAATGGACGTTGGCGGGTGGTAGAGGGTATGTTTGGAGAGAGATTCTGCGAGAGCGAGACGGAGAAGGACGGCAGCCGGTGGAATAATAAATATCCCACAGCCAACCATCGGCCACCAACCAGAGAGGTCCATCTTTCAGCCTCAACTGCAAAGCCCCGAGCTTCAAGCCTTGGGCCGGTATCCTTTCTGTCCCATCGTCCTGCATGAGGCGTGGCAGCCTGCTGACGTTTGTGGGGGCCAGGACCGGTGCCTCAGGACTCAGTGCTGCCTGCCCTCTCCGTCGAACAAGGTTGAGGCATCGAACTGAGGCCTACCGTTGGCTGCGCAGCCCAGTGCCGAGCCCGG